AACTTGTGGATAAATTTTTGTGTTTAAAAAATCTCAAATCATGATAATTTTTGGAGAATATGGTATTCCATCTCATGATGTGGAATCATGAGATGAAATCAGTGTGAAATTTCATGTCCAAACATTAATTTCATCTCATAACTTTATATCGTGATACACCTACTAAGAATAATCTACATGACAAAAGAAAAGAAAAATAGAATAAAAATGAAAATGATACTAATATTATTGCTCACAATTGTGGACTTTTCAAACTTGTTAGTTTACCTGGTTTAATTCAAGTCAACTAAGAATTTTCGATGAAACTATACTGCCAGTAGATAAGCTTAGACGCAACTTATTAATCACTGACTTTTACTCTGCAATTGATTCGCTTAGAAAAACTGTATTTCTACTTTGTTTCTAAATTCTAAAAAGTAGTGCAAATAATAGAATTCCTATAAATTCCATTCACATGATCACATCAACACTTTGTAATATTCTATAATAATCAAAAGATCATAACATAACTATATATTCTATAATAATTTGCTTAAATTTTAAAAGTTTTATTGACCTTCAACCTAAAAATGTTATATTACGTGTATCACAACTGCCTTTATTCTAGACAAAGATAATGGCAAAAGAGAATAAAGAAAAATTTTAACTTTGACATTTTAGGTCCAAGTCAAACTGTGGTATCACGTAATAAATGCCTTGTATTGATATCTAATGTTTTTCTATTTAAGGACAATTTTTGGCATCTCCAACTCAAATACTAAATTTTACATCAAATTTAGTGTGAACAATATTTTTGGTGTAAATCAACTCCAATCAAGTGCATCAAATTTTACACCAAAAAGGAATCTTTTTTTCTCTCTTCATTATTATATTATTATTTGTTATTTCATTTATATTTTCTTATTTCATAAAACAAATTCTTTCTAAAACATTCACCATATATAATTTATATTATTTCCTTTTATAATCGTTTAATATAAAATTATTTTGTACCATAATTTTCTAAATATTATACATTATACATAATAATGGATAGTACAAATAAAAGTGAAATCATTAATGAAATACAATTAAATAAACATTACATAATTGAAAAAATTATTTTAAATTCTACACAAATATTCAACTTTCAAGATCACTACGATGCTCCCATAAATGCTCTATTAATGCATTACGTAGTTCAAAATGAGCTTCTTTGTCCTTTATTTTTTTTATATCGAGCTAGAAATTGATAATTTTCATCTATTGTCATTTCTACAGTCAGAGTTGGACCTTCCGACGCATCTTAAATTGGTGCATTAAGATCAAGTTCATCCTCGATTATCATGTTGTGCATTATAATACATGAAGTTAATATATCATGTAGCACTTCTTTTCTCCAAAAACGTGACGGTCCTGCGATAATTGCAAAACGAGATAGTAAAACTCCAAATGCACGTTCAACATCTTTTCGACATGATTCTTTGTTGAATGTTTATTATTTTCGGTTATTTTTAAGTACATTATATTATTTGTTTAAAAATTTATATGTTTGCATTTTTAATTTTTGTGAAGGTTAATGGTAGTTTATATCCAATTATAATTTATAGTAATATTAACATAAATTTTTTTTAAAAAAAAGTCATATATAGAAAAATTAATCTATAAAAAAACTAAATTTTATATCTAAAATTAATATTATAAAAATATTACATAAAAAATAATTAAATATACAAGAAATTTAATTAAAAGTTTGTATAATGAAATAATATTAAAATATTCAAAAAAGTGAATTGGTGTGATGAATAGTGTTACACCAAATTTGGTGTGTGAATTGGAGCTCAAAACACCAAATATAGAGTTTGGTATAAAATTTGGTGTTGGGTTGGAGATGGTCTTAGAATCTTTTTTTAATAGTGTGCTTGAGATTAGTTTGTAAATGTGAAATTCAATAAACTACGGGAAAATTTTCAAAATGTTAATATTTTGACATTTAATAGGATCTCTTAGTCATACTTTTAATATTTATTTAAAATATCAATATTTTAGTTTGTTATGTATCTAATTTATGTATTTTCTTATCTGTTTGATTTGCAAGAATACAATTATTTACTAACAGAAAGGAGAAAATTAGGGAAGATAATATTTTAAAAAAAGAACATATCACTTAAAATTCTCATCAGTTACAATTTCAAAGAAATCAACTTTCATTTTTAGTATGTTTTCATTGTAATTGTATACCAATAATTTTTACATTTTATGTGTGACTTTACCATTCAAATTAAAATTGGTATTTTACTTTCATAGTGAAAACTACAAATTGTATCTAGTGATCAAAATTGTATTACATGATTGCCAAATAAAATTTTCTTTTATTTGTATTACAAAAATATTACCGATTGTATCCCAATATAATTATCATTACATATGAATATGATTTATGAAATGATACAAGATTCTAGAAAAAATAGCATACATGGTGGAAATAATACAATCTGTTGAGGAATGATACAATATTCTTAAAAAAATAATACAAAATTGGCTGTAAAAAAGTAGAATACATCTATGCTTAAGAAATATAAATCAATTTGACATACCTATTTGAATGACTACAAACTAAAAAGGAAATACAATGTTCTTAATAAAAATAGGCGGAATGACCTGGGAGACCCCTGTACTTGGCTCCTTTTGTCAGTTGGACCCTCCTACTCATCACTTTGCCAATCAAACCCTTAAACTCATCAAAACACAATATTTTAAACCCCTCTGACCATTGACCGAGCTTATGTGGCATTAATATTGGTGAGTTGGAAATATGCGTGATTACACGCGCTTAAAAGTGAGTTAAAACAATATTTTACTTTTAAAAAAATCAATTTAACAAAATTTAAAAAAAAATCATCTTCTTCAACCCTCCTTCACCTACACCCATCCTTTCTTCTTCTCCACCAGCCCTCTCTCCTCTACCCCTCACCACAGCCCTCACCTTTCTTCTTTCTCCAGCCCATTCTTCTTTCTCCACCCCCACATTCAATCTTCTCCGCCTTTTTTTTTTTTTTATACAAATCAGTAGCCTCGACTTCTAAAATTTTCGTTTTTTAGGTTTGAAAAATATTAGTATCATTCTTTTATTAGATGGTTTCAACGAGGAGATGCAGATAATGTGAAGGATGATTGTGACTATTGAAAATTTTAAAACTCCATTGATAAGTTTGAAAAAGCTTAAAAAATAATAAATGGGTCTTGTGAATTTGTAAAATTACTTAAATTTTTTTATTGGGGTTCATTGAGTTTGTGTTGGTGAACTTGTAGTTGAATTTACAAGTTAAATCAAGAAGAATTTGATCTGATGGGTATGAATCTAGTGCTCAATTTGTGACCAAATATGAAGAAGATGACTATTTGAAAAGTTAAAGAAATTAAAAAATTGATTTATTTGATTTTTAAAAAAATTTTAGCACTTAATTTCGCATGTGGCACTAAAAATGATGTGGAATTTCACGTGTAATCGCGTCCATTACACACACTCTGACCGGAGGAGAAAAGAGTTTAAAATGTTGTTTTCTGATGGGTTTAAGGGTCTAGTTGGCAAAGTGATGAGTATGAGGGTTCAACTGACAAAATGAGCCAAGTACAAGGGTCTTTCAGGTCATTCCGCCATAAAAATATAAATGCTGAGTAAAAGAAAAACAATTGACAAACAAAAATTAATATGAATACAATTCAACTTTCTTTTTCTTCTTCTTCTTTTTCTTCTTTCTATGTTGTTTTTTTCTGATTTCTTTTCACCAAACCTAAATTCAAATCCGTATTCACTTGTTCATATATTAGTAACCCTATAAACAAAATTTGAAATTATTAATTATGAATATATAAAAAATCAAACAATATATGATGTGTGAATGCTAATGTAGATTACTACAATCTATTAAATCTCAAATATGGAAATAAAATCACAAAAAAATCGAACAATAGAATTTAAAAAATAAAAAAATCCGAAATATATAAAAGGGGAAAATCTCATAAAATACTTGGTGAATATGAAAACCTCACAAAAAAAACCAAACAATACTGTTTAAAGACGAAAAATTTGAAATACAAAATACTTGGTAATTATGAAAATAAAATCACAAGACATCTCACAAAGTACTTGTTGACTTCGAATTTACCTTTATCAATGGTTGAAAAATCTTTTGAATTAATTGTGAGATTTCTTGAACAAAGTGTAGAAAATTGGAAGAATTGATTTTCTTAAACAAGGAAAGGAGATAACAATGGTGAAAAAGGGAAGAGGGAGGAGTAATTTGAGGTAAAACCTAAAAAGAGGGGTAAGTGGGTAATGAGTGTATTTTTATTTTTATTTTTTACGAGACGAGGGAGTAAAAAAAGGGTCTAATTTGAGTTTGATTTGAGAAATAAAAGGAAAATAAATTAATTATATTAAGATACAATTTATTTTCTAAAATATTGACATGTTTAATAATTATTTTAAAGTATATATATTTTAATAATTATATTAGGGATTGTGACTAGTTTGCTAATTTAACCATAGAGAGCGAAATCCTAGTTCTTTGAACTTAAGACTACCGGGATAAACAGTTCGGCCCAAATGTTTAGTCCATTTATCAGAGGACCTTCTGTTAACCGAAACTTACCTAAATGTATCACTCAGACATCTAGTTTACTAAACATAGTCGAAGTATACACTATTATATATTTTGACTGTATATGTTGTATAGTAAACTAGATGGCCCAAAGGCATTGAACTGTAATTTTATCCCAATCTTAATGAACATAAAGCTAACCAAAAAGTTGATGATTTACAAGAATGGTCTCAAAGGTGGATCGTCTTGAAATTTTGAGTGCTGGCTAGGTAAAACTTCAAGTTTAATAAGTCTATGAAGGTTTGCCATGGAGCGCTAGGAGGGTTAAAAGTTCAAAACTACGTATTTTGAAGGTCATTGGCGCTTCATTCTTAAGATATTGACAACACTGTTAGTTTGAGTAATGACATAATCTCATAAAAGTAAAAGCATATTTTTATTATACATCCTTCTTCAAGAAAAACTTGCACACAACTACAATTAAGAAAGCTTGACAAATTAGTTCTTTAAGTTACAACCGACAGAGGTGTTACAAAATGTAATTAAAACATCAAACAGAGCGAAGATACTACTTCTTGTAGGCTATTAAACTATGGGGGACACTTGACCTGCCAAATTAATGGAGTCCACCGTATGAGTTCCATTTCTGATTATATTCCTCACAGTCTAGAAGATCAGGCCGTGGATAGAACAGAGCGCTCGTAAATTTCATATGGCCTCAGTTCACTTGAAGTGGCTTTGACAGTTTGTTCTGAAGCACCAAAACACAAGTACTGGTTCACCAAACTCTTGTTTTGTTTGTATATCGAATCTGATGATTTTGCCCTTACGTGATTAGAACTAGAAGGTCTAGCAAGCTCATTCTCAATTTGAGTGGCCTTTTGTTGGTCCAATGAAGTGTGTGAAGACACTGATGAAATTGAGAATGAACTAGAGCAAGATGATCTACGGCGGACACTAAGATGTGGTATGGCCAGCATGACACCATTTACTAGCCCTGAAGCAAGTTTCTTCTTAGCTGTTGGACTTGGAAGGTTACTTCTAACAGAGAGTGTCCGCTTGTTGTTTGGAAGAGAGGAAGGCTTGGAGAATCTCTGTCGAAGAGGAACTGGTGCTGCTTCTGAATTTCTAGCAGAACTTTGATCCGCCAATTTCTTGAGCCTCTGAGTATCTCCTTTCCTTATTTTTGGCCAATAGAAAAAGCGTTTCAGCCTTTGTGCAGCATTATTTGCAGAATTGGTTTTACCCTCATTTCTAGAACAATCATTTTCAGTGTTCACATTATGTTGACTCACATCAGTTGAGGTGCTCAGATCTGCGCTTTCATTGCCATCACGCTCAATGCCCGTGTATAAGAAGATTTCGGTGTCAGAGATTCTGAAGGAAGTGCCAGGACTACTACCTACGTGTTGCATTTTTAAATGCGATGCTACAACTCTCCTTGCTGAATAATCGTGTTGACTAAAAATCCCCCCAGCAGAGATCAACTGTTTTGTGAGGAGTTCTGATGAAGCAGAACGTGGCCGTTGCCTAAGGATATCAAGTGGTGTCATTCCATCCTTATCACGAGTATTGACATTCACAGAGCGGACAGTCATTAGTAATTCCACAAGTTCAGAATGAATATTTCCAATGACTGCCAAATGAAGTGCGGTTCTACCATCCTTATTTTCAGCGTTGACAATTTCTTCAATGTTGAAAAACTTCCCACAAACTAATTGCTTCATGAGCTGGATTTGATGGTCCAATCTACGGAAACAAGGAGTTTGGAAACCAGTAATGGCGACATGGAGAAATGTTTCTCCGGCATTGTTTCTCAAATAGACCAATGAGCTTGATGCAACAATTAAAGCTTCAACAACAGCTAATTGGCCCCTGGAAGCAGCAATATGTAGTGCAGTGTTGCCTTGATTGTCTGTGGAGTTAATAATATCAAAACTTTTTATAAGATGTTGGACAACCTGCAACCATTAACAGAATGATATAAGGCACAAAGGAAATCCAGACCTAATTAAGGAACAGCAAAAATATTACCCTAACTGCTAACATTAATATTGTTTCTTACAGATACTTAAGATTTCGAGATCACAACAGTTACATCATCCGAGGTAATCTTCAACACGAGATCAAACATTTATTATTAGATGAGAATAGTATCCAAAAATCCAGCTGATCTTTTTTTTTTTCTTCTGTTTTAAAAAATATGGATGAGTAAATCCTGACCAGAGTTTTTGCAAAGTCTCAGATCAGGTCATAAACAAACATCTGTGAAAAGAAAAGTTAATTATCTCACCTCTTAACTCCTAAGTATAGGTCAAGTACATAATCAAATATCTCAGTTATATTCCCATCTCGAATTAGAAGTGGACAAGCTAGGGAAAGTCTGAACAAGAGAACTTCTTAAAGTAGACATTAACTAAGACTTGAGTAAGGCAACAAGGGAAAACAGATGATTAGCAAAATTCTACCACTTCTGCTAACGTACAGTGACTAGTACAAGAGCCTCATACAATAAGTAGTAGATAATTGCTGACTAAGAAATTTTTCTTTAGATTAGTTTACATGTAGACCCCTAAATTTAATATCCGATTTTTCTCATAGATATATGATCAACAAAAGAACAAAGTTAGAAGTACCAAAGCCATGATTCAAAAGGTCATAGCAAGCCCAATAGCTACTTGTACGGGAGAACAATATTGACGTGGGGAGGAACATATGTACTAGTGATATCATCCGTAATTGATTGAATCTCAAGACATTCTTCGAGCTAATCATAGACGTTCTTGGGAACTAGATTAATGCAACAAGACTCAAACTGGTAAACAAACAATGCAAAAGGCTCAAACTGGTAAGCAAGCAAGTCATACCTCAACCTGTCCCTTGCCAGCAGCTGCATGCAAGGGTGTTGCACCCTGAATGTCTCTATAAGCTAAGATATCATCACAGCATTCAGCAAGAAGCTCCTTCAGTACCTGAAGATTACCTCCTCTAGCAGTAGCATGAATTGCTCTATTCATCATCTCCCACTTATAAGCCGATGGAACCTCACCAATATGTTTATCCATCTCACCACCACCATCACGCACCAGAAACCTCGGGGTGATAGCAAAATCAAACAGAACCTTAAAAAGATCACAACTTTTACTCCTAGCAGCAGCATATAATATATCAGTGACACCATATTCCCCTTCTCCAAACACCAAAAGCGGGTTTCTTTCAAGCAATTCTTGAACAAAAGACAGGTCTCCAGCAGAGGCAGCAGTATATAAAAGCCAACCACCATATCCAGCTTTAAGAAGTGAATTTTTCCCTTTCTTGGTGTCACATTCAAGCATCAGTTTTCTAGCAACCTGAGAGCGGCATCTAGCCACATCATCAAGCTGTTCTTCATCATCCCAAACAGACTCAAGCCTTCGAATCCTACGAAGTGAAGTGAGCTTAATAAGGTGATTTCCATCTAATCGAAGAAGCTCACGAACCAAATCATAATGACCATTAGCAGCTGCATAATCAATTGGCGAAGCATACCACCATTGATCCCCTGTGCTCTCCCACCGAAGAGGAAAATACGTTGGAGGCATTCTAACAAACAGATTATATATGAGTGCACAGATAACTGGAGCAACAAAGCTCAAATTTTACCAAACAAGTTCCAGAGGGAAAATTGAAGATTCTGCAACAAGAAAACTTCACAGTTAACAATCGCAAAGAGATAGGAATGAATGACATAAGGAACTTGACCCACAAAACAACTAGTAGTACTTAAAGATAATAATAAGAGAAGACCCTACTGTGATAAGTACTAAAAATAGCTTGTGGATATATAATATACGTATACCGACTAGTAAATTGATAAACATGTACTCAAAAGAGAAGAATTAATACTCAAATATAATGTGTAATGTTAAAGCTTAGAGTACACACAATAATCAATAGTTGAAGTAGCTTCAAGAATACAAATAACAATAAGAGAAAATAGGACAGAATGTGAAGAATGACACATGGAAAAACATGATTTAGTTATAAAAAAGAGAAGACAAAACCAGAAAAGATTGATACTGATGAGAGAGAAGAAAGATTGATCCCATCATTAGCCCAGTAAAAAGGACATTTGCTTACCACTAGTTTCTCACAGAATTAACAAAAAAAATTCATGGAAGAGAGATTCATGTATTTATGTACACCTCATTTTTGTATCAGATCAAATAATTATAATTTATATTAAAGGTCATAAATTACAATTAAAATGCATATAATTTTAATGATATGATTTTTATGTTAAAACACTTGTTTTTATATTTTATTAATTTGATATAAATATTGAGATCTTTTTCAGTTGAGTGAAAAAGCTGATGATTCAGAAACAGCATGCAGAAGTGAAAAAAGGCGCCAAAATTTATTCCGGGGAACTGTGGTAAATTGGTAATACATCCCCAAGTCATGCCCAATTTTTAACTTCTTCCATGCCTGTATGGCTGTATTATTTAATACTCTATAAACAAAATTAGAGCAGTAATTAAGATGAGTAAATTTCAAAGATTTCTTCCAAATTTGCAATTTTGAGATTTGAAATTTTACACTATCTTTCCTTATCTGTCTTATGCATTGATAAAGTATTACTTATAAATAAATTGTTGAGGTGTAACACACTCTTTATTTTTTAAGAAAGATCTTTATATATATTAATTAAAAGCTAATTTATTAATATTCTCCTTTTGATTCTTCTCTGCCTCTTCTTAAAAAGGAGAGATGGTCATTATTTAGGATTTAAAAGTAGTTGGAAATCACATTAAGAAGAAGGGTAATTTTAGAAGAAAAATAATTAAAAGTTCTTGAACTTTGAAAAATTCATATATTATGGACAATAAAAAAGTATCAACAATTCATTTAGGATTGGAAAGCCACCTGGTAATTAGAATTGGTATAATTATTAGGATAGTAATTACACAGTCTAGTAATTACACTGATCTATTTGGTTGCCTCAGTGTAATTACACAAGTCCTGTTTGGATGCCACAGTGTAATTACACATGTTCTGTTTGGTTGCCTCAGTGTAATTACACTATAATTACACTTGTCCTATTTGGATGCCACAGTGTAATTACACATGTTCTGTTTGGTTGCCTCAGTGTAATTACACTATAATTACACTTGTCCTATTTGGATGCCACAGTGTAATTACACATGTTCTGTTTGGATGCACAATTGCAATCATAAAATTATATAAATTTTTAAAAATAAAAATTAATTATTTAAAATTTATACTAGACAATAAGAAACTTTATAAATGATATTAAATTAAATATTATATATATATATATATTATTTTTTATCAATATATTAATTAATAAACATATGCTCTTAACTAATATTATTAAAAACAATTGATTTATATTTTTTCAAATTAATATATTTCAATTGAATTGATCATAAAAACTAAAAGTATGAAGTATCTACGAACATCGTGAAATGTATGTTTAGATAAAAAGATTAATATATAAATAAAATGTCATAAATTATTAAAAATGTTTGACAAAAAGATAATATATCAAGTCTAATTAAAAAATGACTTGTAATGTGAATTCAATATTACTAAAACAAATGAAACTGAAAATATAACATAAGTTATAAATTCAAAACAAATAAATTTAACATAATACTCTTATCGCAAATTTCAACACAGAATACATAAATATGATTTTATTTTTTTATTTTTTTAAAATGTAAGTCTATAACCTTACTTAGCAATAAATTCTATTTTAATTTTAAAATTAGAATACTAATAAAATTATGCTAATGAGAAAATAAGCATGGCATAAAGAAATAAATAATACGAAAAAATTACATAGAATCACATGAAGTAAGGTTGAGAACGAGAAGAAAATGAAATATAATAATAAAAAATAAAAAATAAACTTTTAGAAATTTTTAGAATAATTAAAATAAAAAAGAACTTAAAAATAATAGAAGTAAAAAAAAATTAAAACAAAAAAATAAAAAATAAACTTTTAGAAATTTTTAGAATAATTAAAATAAAAAGAACTTAAAAATAATAGAAGTAAAAAAAAATTAAAACAAAAAAATAAAAATAGAAATAAAAAAATAAAATTTAAAAGGTAATCAGTTGGTAATTGCACCATGTAATTACCAACAATTCACAACCTCTGCTTGTGAATTAGAGAATGTAATTACCCCTGAGTCCCTGACAATTACACTAATTACCTGTTGACCAAGTAATTACATGTTCAATCAAACAGGACAGACAGTGTAATTACACTCAATTACACAAAATTCAATTATCATGGTGTTTTTCCAAACAGACCCTTATATTTGGACCCTATTAATTAATAGAGATAAAATAGTAAACTAACTATATTCATTATTGTTTTCTTAATAATTGTGTTAAGTCAAAATTTGGCATGTAAAAGGGACAGAGGGAGGCAGTAATTTATATCATTAATGCACTAAAATTGAGTTTGTGGCATTAAATGTGGATGATCTGTCTCTTTGAACAACGAGCTCCCTTGAGAGTTTCTTTGTTAATTTTCTTTATGAGAGTTTTATTTCAAAGATAATTACTTTGTTAAAGCCTAAAGGTGAAAGTTATTTGATTACTAGACAGTAGACAGTAGACAGCAGGTGACCCCTTTAACCAAAAGTAGTTTACCTTTGTTGAAATTAATAGGAATCTGTTTGGGATAATCACACAGTGAAAGATGATTTATATAGAAAGAAATCTTCCGAAATTTTAATTGTCCCATATATAAAAGTCATTGTGCAAATATATAATTACATCTCGCGATTGCTACTTTTAAACGTAAATCAAGTTCAAGATTCGAAATTAAAATCGTTATTTCATTCAATGCGGTTGAAAATAATAATTCAAAGTTGGAGACTTGGAGTAGGAATCTTAAGTTGATTAGGATTTGTTATTTTGAATATTAACTTATTTATGTTTAATTACGATTTGTTAGTTAAGAGTATATCCTAGTCCTAATTTAATTTGATTTTTACTTTTATAAATAGAGATGTTACTGTTATTTTCAATACACCGAAATACTAGAGTTTATAAATAAGACATTTTCCTTTCAAATGCAGTTAGCTATGTTCCCAGCCCAACATAGGGCAAAATGTTTTATCTTAAAATTAGCTTGTTGAAAAGTAATACACTTGTAATAGTAATTCTTACCAACAACTAATAATATGGGAGACAAGTGAAGAAGAGAGGGACCAGCAAATAGCAATCCCTATCAAAAAAAGAAGAGATATGCCCATGTGATAAAACAGCTTTTTTAGCTGAAACTGAAAGGGGAGTGATCAAAAAGGAAAAAAGATAGTTCTACAAGTAATAATGCAGCATGTGATTGCCTAAAATTTAGCTCAGTGCTTATACTACTTTTTCCAATTTCAAGTCCACTGTTGCCTTTCACAACTCATGTTCAGTTAGAAAGCAACATCATAGCATGGACACAGACAAACAGTGGAAAACACAACATAAGGCACCTAAAGGTAGTTTCATAAAGAGAAGATAAGATTTACAAGTGTAATTTGGAGAGGATAGATGGCAAATCATCCGCAACTTGAAATGTACTCCTATATATCTTTCAATCAATGAAAAACAAACAAATCATTTAAAATTACCTATATATCCATCCTCATCAACAAGAAGGCACGTTCTGTTTTAAATTCCTTTGGGAAACCTAAATACCCGGTTAACAAGCAAACAAGAGCTGTTTTAACTCACTCTTAGAGAAAATATATATAGCAGCAACCCTTTCATATGTAATGCAACGACAAAAATCAGACATTACTATTAATTAATTAATTGGGTTGAAACTGCAATACAATCATCTGTAGGGATAGCTAAGAATGCAATATATGTAGTGCATATCACCACAATGTTCAACATCATATTTATACATGGAAATGGAATGAATCATTTCCAATCATTATTGATTTGCTTTCAATTCTACATCTCCTTCAAGGCATCCTATGATAATTACACTTCTTCCCAACAAATACTACTACTTACTTTCCATCTTTTTAATACTACTAATTTACCTCTTTCTTCTAATAAAATCTCCAAATATTATTAGGTATATACACTAGTGGTGTAATGTGGCACAAACACTACTGGCTAGCTAGCTAGCGTAATATATACGAGGATTATAAACTCACCTAATCTAATCTCCAAAATATTTTAAAATAAATATAAAAATCAGAAGAATTTTAATATCCAATCTAAACTATAATACACTCGTACTTGCATAAAATTGGAGAGTGTATGAAGGTGCCAAAATCTTCTTACTCATAAAAACCATAATAACATTCATTTTGTGACATCGATGCAAACTCATATTTAAGTATAATTATTCAACCAAAAATATGGATGTATTGTGAATTAGTAATATTAATTCACTCCAACTAATATTTTCGTTATAGAATATATCAATAAAGTTGGGCATCTTTGGGATATCTTGTTTGTTCTTTCTTTTCCTGTGGGCCTAAATCAAAAGCCCACACCATTTGCAACTCTCCTCAAATTCTGCATTTTTTCAGTAGAGTTATACATGTGATACCAAACATACTTCAATAAATTCTGCCTCATTTGCGTGTGTGTTGGGGTGGGGGTAGTACAACATTAAAAACATTGTTTCTACTTCTTCACACAATCAAACAGTTACTCCCTCTATCTAACCATAATTGTAAACTTGTCTAACAATAATTGTTCACTGGCACATGAATTAAGTAGTGAATAATAGGAATAATTTTACCAAATCACCCTTAGTAAATTTAAGTTTAACAGGATGGACGGAGGGAGTATTAAGTAATTGCAAGTAAATCTTGATCTTTCTCTTATTTTTCTTTTTCGTTTTTTGGGAGCAGATAAATAATACTATAGAATAACTAGCATTAATCTTATATGGTCTGTTGGAGATTTTTTACTTATAACTAAAAATGTATGCAAGAGTAATCACTG